ATGTTGCTAGCTATTATTAGTAATGTAGTGACAATGTTACTGGCTATTATTAGTAATGTAGTGACAATGTTACTGGATATTATTAGTAATGTAGTGACAATGTTACTGGCTATTATTAGTAATGTAGTGACAATGTTACTGGCTATTATTAGTAATGTAGTGACAATGTTACTAGCTGTTACTAGTAATGTAGTGACAATGTTACTGGCTATTATTAGTAATGTAGTGACAATGTTACTGGCTATTATTAATAATGTAGTGACAATGTTACTGGCTATTTTTAGTAATGTAGTGACAATGTTACTGGCTATTATTAGTAATGTAGTGACAATGTTACTGGCTGGTATTAGTAATGTAGTGACAATGTTACTGGCTATTATTAGTAATGTAGTGACAATGTTACTAGCTATTATTAGTAATGTAGTGACAATGTTACTAGCTATTATTAGTAATGTAGTGGCAATGTTACTGGCTATTATTAGTAATGTAGTGACAATGTTACTAGCTATTATTGGTAATGTAGTGACAATGTTACTAGCTATTATTGGTAATGTAGTGACAATGTTACTGGCTATTATTAGTAATGTAGTGACAATATTACTGGCTATTATTAGTAATGTAGTGACAATGTTACTGGCTATTATTAGTAATGTAGTGACCATGTTACTAGCTATTATTAGTAATGTAGTGACAATGTTACTGGCTATTATTAGTAATGTGACAATGTTACTGGCTATTATTAGTAATGTAGTGACAATGTTACTAGCTATTATTAATGTAGTGACAATGTTACTGGCTATTATTAGTAATGTAGTGACAATGTTACTAGCTATTATTAGTAATGTAGTGACAATGTTACTGGCTATTATTAGTAATGTGGTGACAATGTTACTGGCTATTATTAGTAATGTAGTGACAATGTTGCTGGCTATTATTAGTAATGTAGTGACAATGTTACTAGCTATTATTAGTAATGTAGTGACAATGTTACTCTGGCTATTATTAGTAATGTAGTGACAATGTTACTGGCTATTATTAGTAATGTAGTGACAATGTTACTAGCTATTATTAGTAATGTAGTGACAATGTTACTGGCTATTATTAGTAATGTAGTGACAATGTTACTGGCTGGCTATTATTAGTAATGTAGTGACAATGTTACTGGCTATTATGGTAATGTGGTGACAATGTTACTGGCTATTATTAGTAATGTGGTGACAATGTTACTGGCTATTATTATTAATGTAGTGACAATGTTGCTGGCTATTATTAGTAATGTAGTGACAATGTTACTGGCTATTATTAGTAATGTGGTGACAATGTTACTGGCTATTATTAGTAATGTAGTGACAATGGTGCTGGCTATTATTAGTAATGTAGTGACAATGTTACTGGCTATTATTAGTAATGTAGTGACAATGTTACTGGCTATTATTAGTAATGTAGTGACAATGTTACTAGCTATTATTAGTAATGTAGTGACAATGTTACTGGCAATTACTGTATTACTAATGTGGGGGCAATGTTGCACTGGAACAGTGATGGTGATAACGAATGGTGGACTTTAGAATGATGAGTGGGGGCAAAGAAAAAACGTACCGGTATGTTTATCTTGTTGTTTTTGTTCATGTTTGGCATATAATTGTTCTTTTACACAGTTGAGATAAAATATTTTACGACAGTATTTGGTTCAGAATATTTTTTTTTCTAGATCTTCCTCATATAAAATTGGGTGCATCTTATATGCCTTATACGACGAAAAATACGGTAAATATTTAAATCTTCATATTATATGCAACTTACCAAAAAAATAAACACTTGGTTTCATTTTTTTGTAGAACTTTTTACAGTTTTTGCCAATATAAGAGGAATACCAGCTGTTGTGAAATTTCTAACTTTTATACTTTTATAATAGATTTTGTTTGAAACAAAGAATTTGAATAAACAAAGCTGTTAATATACTTTTGTAAGCAAGTGAATTCCTAGCGCTACTATTATGGTAAATTGGATTTTTTTTTTTTTTACATTTTATAAGGTATAAAAATAAAATTCAATGTTCCCAGAATAAAAGTGATTTGTAGCCACAAATTCAAAGAAATATTATTTATTATAGTTTAGTTTCCATTACACATGTGTTTTGTACAGAAGTACATTTAAGTGTTTGTATTGTATTGTATAGCTCACATTTTTGATAAAAATACCGGAACATCTGACCCCGTACAGTTTTCAAAACATTTCTCGCGAGTGTTTGGTTGCAAGACGCAGTCTCAGAGCAATTTGTCTGCGATTCTGTCTAAAGTCGTGCAGGGTGAAATCCCCTATTGTGCAGAGTGAATTCAGCAATGACTGGATGCTGCTAAAGACAGTGCTTCAGTGTGAAAACATCTGCGACATGACTGCTCTGACAACACATGTTGTGTGAATCTGGCCTTACTATCACGAATCTGTAAAAAAAAATAAAAAGCTGGTTGTTTGGGAAGTCGTCTGTAACATATCTGTCTGTAATCTGTCTGTAACTTAAAAAATACTGTGTTTCCAACATTTATTTAACCCCTCACTGTTTAAATACACCAATAGTCTTTTAAGTGATTGGTTGTTTGACTTTAGGCAAGCAGTCAAGATCAACAGGAGGATAATTTCTCTACTTCTCTCTCTCAGTGTTGAGCAAATACCAAATCCCAGAGTCCTCCTGTATTGTAACCCTGGCAAATTCAGATCAGTCATTTCCACATCACTTCAGGTCTTCAAAAGAAGGACTAAGAACCCAATTTAACTTTACAATTGTTTGGTATTTAGTTTGGCTTTCAGAGCAAGATTGTTTGTGAAACCATGTGTGAAGCTGCCAAAACTTAAGTCCAAATATTCCCAACCTCGCAGGTGTAGGAGACATTGGTTTTGATTCTTACTCTTGGATGGGAAAGAGAAGTGAAGCGCTCGGAAACTCACAAACTCCAAGTGGTCCAGAGGGAGAAAGGGGGAGGTGAGAAGGACCAGAGCTAGCCACAAGCCTGTCCAAATTCTCCCCCAAACCAATCTGCCCCCTACATATGTCCCTTTCTAGCCCCCACCACCAACATCATGGAAAACAGTGAAGTGCCTGCTTGCCAAAATGGGAAGCTGATCAGGAGGCTTGCCAGATCCTCTGCCACCTTGCCTCCACTGCTCCAAGACTGCGACTCGCTTAATTATGATTAATTGCTGCCTGGATAATAAGATACAGACTCAAAAGGTTGGAGATGACAGTCCAAGGACACACTGAGAAAGGCAAGGTATGTGTTCATTAGGAAGAAAGCGGGTATCTCTGCCACACACCTTCACCTTACATATTTTAGCTTTTGCAAATAGAATACATTTTTAGAAGATCATAGGAGAAGTCTCCCCTGGGTGAGTCTTTGTATGTGTTTCTAGCCCAAACATACTCCCTCCTGCACTTGTATCAGTTTGGCGATCACTGTCACAGGCAGCATTTAAATGTGCAACGGAGAAAAATACTTTTTTTTTTCTTCAAAAAATAGTAATATAATATAATAAATATTATTTTTAGAAAATAATGCTAATCAGATAAAGAGAACCTGTAATGGACTGGTGACCTGTCCGGAGTGTATCTTTTGCCTATAGTATACTGAAGATCCAGCAGCAGACCAGCGTGGTTTTTTAAATTTTTTTTTTATTCATTCATTCGCCACAGCGAATCATCCGTTTCCACCTAACTCTGTCCTCAGTATCCTCTAGTATACATCATAACTGCTCTCACTACTGTTCTGTACACCTTTTCTTTGATTCTAGCGGACACTCTTTTGTCACACAACACCCCTGACACTTTTCTCCATCCACTCCAACCTGCCTGCACTCGTCTCTTCACCTCTTTTCCACACTCCCCGTCGCACTGGACTACTGACCCCAAATACCTAAACTCCTGCACCTTCTTGACCTCAGCCCCCTGTAACATCACTGTTCCATTTCTCTCTCTCTCTCGTTCAAACAAATGTATTCTGTCTTGCTGCGACTGACTTTCATTCCTCTTCTTTCTAGAGCTGACCTCCAACTTTCCAGGTTTTCCTCCACCTGCTCTCTGCTCTCACTACAAATCACAATGTCATCTGCAAACATCATTGTCCACAGAGATTCCTGCCTGACCTCATCTGTCAACCTGTCCATCACCATAGCAAATAAGAAGGGACTCAAAGCTGATTCTTGATGTAGCCCTACCTCCACCTTGAACTCCTTTGTCTGACCTACAGCACATCTCACTGCTGTCTTACTTCTCTCATATATATCCTGAACTACTCTGACATACTTCTCTGCCACTCCTGACATCCTCATACAGGACCATAGCTCATCTCTCAGCACCCTGTCATACACTTTTTCTAAATTCACAAAGACGCAGTGCAGCTCCTTCTGACCATCTCTGTACTTCTCCATTAACATTCTCAGAGTAAAAATTGCATCAGTAGTGCTCTTCCTGGGCATGAAGACATACTGCTGTTCACAAATATCCACTTCCCTTCTTAGCCTAGCTTCCACTACTCTTTCCCAAAGTTTCATTGTGTGGCTCATCAACTTTATGCCTCTGTAGTTGTTACAACTCTGCACATCACCCTTGTTCTTAAAGAATCAAACTACTTACAACCATTGACCTAAAAAAAAAAATGGCTGATTTTAAGGTTCAGGTCTGTTCCCGGCCCCCTCCTACTTGGACAGCTTGTCTTATAGGCTTCCCTCAATGCTCACCAAATAAGCTTGTGGTAGTCTAACTAAGCATTATCATGAAATACTCTTCAAGGATTTGACTTCTGGGGCCTTTTTGAATATTTTTATTTTTCAACTTTAAAAATTGCTCCAATTAGATCTAGAAGAGTTTTAAGTTTGAGGAAATTCTTGCTAACATAATTGAAGTCAGCAACCTCTAACAATTATTTGGCCCTAGTTTTCATTAAAACTACTTTTTTAACATTTATGCTTTTATCCAAAGGGTCTTACATTTGAATGACTGAATGTCCTGCTCTCCCTGGGATTTGAACCCATGACCTTTCCGTTGTTAGCACAATGCTTTAGCACTTGAGCCACACGAAAGCTGTAAAGACATATGTGTCTTCCGTGTAAAGACATATACATGGAAGACAATATTAAACATTTAGTTTATTTATTTATTTTACCTTTTTTATTTTTATTAACAGCTACGATGTATTGCTTATGAAATCCACGAAGTTCTAAAGAGAAAAATTACATTTAGTTTACATAATGTACACATTCTGAACTCTTGAATTAAATAATTTAATTAAAAATCAGAACTTCAATCATCTATGTAGCAAACAATAAATGCTGTGAGCTATATAACCTTTGGGCTTTCAGACCAACAAACATTGGCAAATTGTCAAAAGTCTGCTAATCAGGGCTTTATGAATTCAGGAATGAAAGCTTTCATCTGTGGGGCATTGAAAGTCTCATTAAATGTTTTTGAAAAAAAAAACTTATTTCACTCATTTTCAAATTTAGAACTAAAATAAAGAAAATGTTGTATTTAAAACACAAATAAAAACACGACAAAATAATTCTCCCAAGCCACACAGTGCTGCAGTGTAATGATGAAAGAGCAAAATTTATTTTCGTTAGAGAACAGAACTTTGGATCATTCAGCAGCAGTCCATTTTTTAGACCAGGCGAGAAGCTTTTGACCCTGTCTTTTATTCAAAAGTGGCTAAACACAAGCAATGCAACAGTATGCGTCTGTGTGTGGTGGGAGCACTGACTCCCATTGCAGTCCACCCTTTGTGAATCTCCCACAAAATGTGTGAATGGGTTTTGTTTCACAATCCACTCTCATTTGCTTCCCTTCTCTATTAATGTGCTTGGACACAGAGCTTTGTCAACAGCCATGTACATCGCATTCAGATTCACATCCTGATTAGCACAAGGCTGATCTACTGTAATGCCTTTGGTATCAATAAGTTTGGTGACCAGATGTGTTAAAGAATGTTGATACGGCTCGTTTTAAAATAGAAGGAGAGCGTGGATGATAATTTAAACTCTGTGTTTGGTTGACGGATGTTGGAACTCTGTTTCGTTCAAACAAATCGATACACAAACGAAAAAGTTCTTAGTAATTTATCTACAAACTTTTAACAGTTGAAGAAAAATGGCTTAGGTGGCCAAAATAACAAACAAAACCCACCAATCCCCTAAATTCCTTAACAGACAATAAACGTAAATTTACAACACAACTTCCTAACAAAAAAAATACAGTCTTTCAGAAATAAAATTAGTCCTTCCCCAACACATTTGCCAAATAATCAACAAATCATTAAATGCGAAAGAAACAAAGTGTTAAGCAACAACACAAATCTTACTAAAATAAATGTGGAACTAAACATTAACGAAGGAGTGTGTGACGGAGCTCTCTGATTGGAAGAGCTCTGCCCCTTTTGAATGCACCAATCAGCATTGCTGATGGCACAATCACCGGAGACTCCAGCTGATTTTAATCACACACCTCCTGAACACAAAACAACATCAAAAACATTTGAAATCACACTAAAAGTGACCCAATGCACATAACAACATGGAACCCAATTTCTGAATAACTTGAGGAGGAAAACCCAAAATACACTCAATTTGTATTACCGTCATTGTTTGCATGTTGAGTATAGAATCCTGAAGATTTCTCTTAAACTAGCAACCTGTTGGAGGGGTTTGCTTTCATGTACACCCCAGTTCGAAATGCTGTGCTTGGAACCTCATCTGTTCTTTACCTTCCTAATGGAAATCTTAAAACAGTTTTTTTAACTGACCTTTGGAAGAGGTTGGAAGGAGGGTCTCGGTTTTAATCCATTTTAGCATCTGCATGTGTGTGTTGCTGTTTCTTTTTATAAAATGTGACCTTATTTTTTTTTTTTTTTGTATTTCCTATATCCAGGGCCGTGGTCAATGTTGGTGTTGGGGTGAGGTTGTTCTACTACGCTTTCCCAATTACGACCATCTGTTTGCTCACCTGGAAACTGTTTTAGGTTTTTCTAGAACTAAATGAATTTTGCAGGTCGCTGCTGTCTCGTTTATTACACAAGAATATAAATGCTAAGTGAATTAAATCAAACCATTCAGGCAAAATTGATGAACAGGCTATTCATTGGACACCCTGCCAGAGCTTCGTGGGATAGCAGCCGTTTTCCCAGCGGTTTTAAGTTAAAGCCTCTACTGGTAAACATAAGCCAAAGGGAAACCGCAATAAATACCTTAAAACATTGACGGATGGTCTGATTCATTATTTAGCATGTAGAGGAATGGGGACAGTCAGGCCTGATAAAATGAACAATTTGTACAATCCACAATCAATATGTAGCCTTTCTCCTACAGAGCACGGCAGAACAATTACCAGACACAAATGCACATCTGTTACTAGAACAATCGCAATCTTTTCTTTAAGGAGGTCATCAGTTCATAACGTATACGCAATTGAAAGCATTTCATTAGCGTAAAATAAATCCAAATGTCAACCTGCTCCAAATGAGGAAAGCATTGAGATTGTGTTAGATGCTGGGCCACAGTAAATCTTTTACATTTGTCTGTGGAGCATTAGCACTCTCCAGGGGCTTGCATCGCTTCTAAAGTCGTCTTCGCCCAGACAAGCTTTGAATCTCTAATCCTTTCTTGAGATTTATCATATAGAAGCAGAGAGACGGATTTAAAGATCAGAAATATGCACTTTGGCTATCAATCTAGTTAGTGAACACAACAGAACAGTCCTTAACTTCTGGTTATCCATGTCTTAGGTCAAAACTTAAAATATGCTGCATAGTATATGAACTACATTTTAATTTAGAGCTGTACAACAAAAAACAATGAAATTAATTCAAATTACACATTATCATAGAGCATAATTCCGGTTAAATGCACATAGCTCTCATTTTTGTCATATTTTGACAATTTGTCCATTTTTTTTGTTTTCATATACATGCCAAATAGTTACTATCCAGATCTGGATTTGCATGTGGTGTTGAGATCCAGAGTTGACATTTAGAGTGATCTTAAGTTGTTTTGTTATCTAGAGTTGCATGTAGTTTTTTTTTTTTATTCAGAGCTGCAGGTGGTGTTGTGATTGAGAGTTGCGTCTGTTGTGATCTAGGGTTGTCAGCAGGGTTGCGATCAACAGTTACATGAACTGTTGTGATATAGAGTTCCATGCGTTGCAATCTAGAGTTTCTTTGTTGCGAAACAGAGTTGCGTGTGGTAATTGAGATCCAGAGTTGAGTGTGGTGTTGTGATCTAGGAGTTTGTGCAGTGTTGCGGTCAATAGTTGCATGCAATGCTGTGATATAGAGTTCCACGTGTTGCAATCAAGAGTTTCTTTTGTTGTTGCGAAAAAGAGTTGCATGTGTTGAGAGTTAAGTGCGGTGTTCTGCGTTCTAGAGTCAGGCGCAGTATTGTAATTTAAAGTTGCTTGTGTTGTGATCTAGAGTTTGATTTTTTAATCTGGAGTTGCAGGCAGTATTGCAACCTTGAGTTGCAAAGTTGCGATCTAAAGTTGTATGTAGTGTCTCGAGCCAGAAATGTTTTGTTTAGTTAAAAAAAAAAAAAATCATGCCTAGGTAAATAGCATGCTTCACCAACTGAAACATTGTAAGGCAAACAATTTCTGTTTTATTGAGTGCAGTCTACTTTTAACAAAAGACTGTTTGCTTAATCAGGTAATTGTGACTCCATATATTTTTGAGACTTGAGCTTTTTGGGTTTACATTGGGTTAGTGTATCTAAAAACAGCAAATATCAAGTTTAGTTTAATACTATTTGTACCACTTATGTACCTGCCATTCCACAAGTCATTCTTCTTCACAATATCACCTTTCATTTTAGCCTTGATCTCCTAATTAAGTAAGTGGAGCATTTTAGATTCCTTTATGGTTTTATCAATTTATCAATCAATCAATCAATCAATCAATTGATTAATCAATCACATACACTGTTACATGCAGTGAAATTGGACCCCTGTAAACACAAATAATGGTCATTGTTGATTGTCGGTAGCATTTTGGAAACAGGAAAATGTGTGCACACTGGGAGAGTTAGCTAAAAAAATTATTAGCCAATAAGCACATAGCAGCTGCCATTCTTCCGGCACTGCTCATTTACATCTGAGGGTAAAAGCATGCAAAGGCTATGATATGGAGTGAGAGCGTATCATTATCTTATTCTCACTGGAGAATTGTTTTGTCTCTAACAACGGGCTTTCCAAGGTCAGCTTAAAGATATGAGGAAAGGCCGAATGGGAGAGAAAGATTATGTGAGGATTGGTCAATACGTTCATTTCACAGATGTTTAGTAAATATTTTATCCAACATCCATTGCATGGCCGGCAGTTTCTCACAGATGATGTCCAGTTTGTGGTCAAAGACCACAGAGTGAGTAGTGAGTAAGGCTGACCACCTTTGATAATCGATTATAACCCTATCACAGCTCTGTCTAGGTCAATATCTTCAACCTTCTTCAGGGACAGAGCAGCCAGGCACACAATATAACAATTCTCCCAACTGTCCATGGTGCCAGTAGCAAAAGTCCCCAGTATAGGTAGGCCCTGATCCATAGTTCCTTTATTTTGTGAGCAGGGTAAAGGAAGTCTCTCAAAGACATACAGACACAGCAAGAATGTGTTAATAAAAAATATATATCTCATAACCCATACAGAAGACTCTGGAAGCAAGGTTTAAGATTATTTGACAGAAACACTGCTGTATTTATATTAAAATACACACAGTCTTGTACCAAGAATAAAACAAAAAGAAAAGTGGGGGAAGAGAAAAGGAGAATAGTGTGGGAGGGGAAAGACAGCCAACTCATTTAAAGAGAGCACATTTCTAGATGTGATGTAACTTCCTGTTTGTGATGTAACTGCCTGTTCATGATGTTTCTGTTTAACTTTATGATGTGAATCTCAGAATAATTGTTAATATTATTTAACCTTATACAATTGCCAATATGCTGAGTTAAGTTAAAATATAAATATAATACCTCTTTCGAAACCCTGTATTTTCTTGTGAGATTAACGTAAAACAACATTAATATATTCTTCAACAATTTAACATCA